CACACACATCCACCACACATGTGTCCTTGTACACAGATCTGTGTAGAAAGGGGACACACCACACCACACAGCCACACACACCCTCACACACCCCGGGTCACCGTGACTCAAGCCCACGCTGGAAGACTCACTGCTCACGGAACCCTTCCTTCTCCCTGCCAGACTGTGCCGAGCCCTTCACGAACACTCTATCATTCCACCCAGATATCAAGCCACAGAGAAGGGGTTCCTTCCCTCCTCTATAAAATGGGCAAACAGGCCAGAGAGATGGAGTGGATGCTTCAAGGTCACGCATACAGCCAGCAAAGGCAGAGCAGGGACATCTAGCTCAGGACCCAAATCCACACCACCATCACCACTGTGACAGGCCGATCTAAGAGCCCGCCCCAGTCAGGGACACATTGGCTGCACATAACGGAAAACTGGACCAAGAGAGGTTGAACCAAGTAAGGGTTTAATTTTCTCACAGAACCAGATGCCAAAAGGGACAGGTGTGCCTGACTGTCATGGCCTTTCCTTCATGATAACAAGACAACTGCCCCAGATCCAGACATCACATCCACATTCGCAGCATAAAGGTATGGGGTACGGGACTGCAAAGTCTTCCCCAGAAGCCTCTCTATTGGCTTTGTTTAATTCGCACTAACAGACTGAGCAAGGGAGGCTGGGAAAGTGAGCAAAAGGATCGTCACCATGGGCTGGGATCCATCACGATCCACCATCAGGGTCTGGGCACGCCGATACTCCAAGCAAAATGGGATCTGTTAGCAAGGGGTCGGAGCAAGGAGCTGGACACTGGTCAGCAATGACAGCCCCTGCCACAGACCCCGGGCTCTGCCCTTATTCCACCTGGGTCCCCTCAGGGGTTGGGGATCCAGCCAAGGGAGCCAGGAGTGGGTGGCCCAGTGCTTGACCCCAGGGGAATGACAGAGACCAGAGCTGGGGGTGGAGGCCAGACCCCACCCAAGGGCCCATGTAATTCTCTGGAGGGTTAGGACCCCTGAGCCCCAACCCAGTTCAAGGGCCCTCCATGTTTGTTCAATTCAGCCACCCAAGGCCCATAGAAGCCCAGCCCCTGGGGCCTCTCTGGCCCTCCTCTGGGTTGTCCAACCGACCTCCCAGGGGCCTAGGACGCCTTCACCGCCAGCCACCACCCAATCCTGGGCTGACCCACCACTCAGAGGCCCTGCCGGGGACTCCCTACCAAAGAGCACTTGCCATGAGTCCCCAGGGCTGCCTGGGGAGGCCAAGGACAGCCAGAAGCCTCAGCCCAAACTTTGCCCAGCCGTTCAGGGTTCATCTGGCCATCAGCTGTGGGCACCAAGGAGTATCTGGGTAGAGGAGACAATGGAGGGAATGGAACCTGTGGAGAGACCAGAAATGGACAAATGGTCACCCCGACTCCCACGCTCACTCCACAGGCTCCTGGGGGAGCGCATGTCACGGAGATGGTTTGGAGCCGGATTTCTCCCCCTCGGCACTCTTAAAATTTAGGGCCAGATAAGTCTTTGCCGTGGGGTGTCCTGTGCATTGTCCAATGTTTAGCAGCATCCCTGGCCTCTACCCTCGAGAAGCCAGGAGAACCCCCCTGAGTCGTCACAATCACAAATGTTTCCGGACATTGCCAGATGTCCCCAGGGGCGTGGCCCCTCATGAAAACCACCGGTTTAGAGAGACTTCAAAGGCCAGAGATGCCACGAAGAGACCCCAGCTGAGGCCAGACTATCTGATCACATGTATCTGAGTCCCCAGTCGGCTCCAGCCCTATTAGGCAGGAACCTTTGGATTCTAGAATCTTCAGGCTCAGAGAGAATTTCACATCCACTCTTAAACCTCTTGGCAGTCTAGCCATAGCTTGTGCCCTTCCACTGATGAGGAGCTCACTCCATGAGAAGGCGGTTCCTTTCATCTCAGAAATGTGAATTTTTTTTCCTATATTGAGCCAAACTCTGTCTCCTTGTAACGTCTAACTTGTTCAACACAGCCCTGGCCCCAGGCCCCTTAAACAGTCGTGAGCCCTCTGCCCCCGACAGACAGCTCTGTGGGACTTCAGAGCCAGGAGTCCTAGTTCCCCCAAGGGTTCCGTACTCCAGATAAATCCGAAGGCCCGACAGAGCCCCCAAGACTTTGGGGAGTCCCCCGCCCCCTCTCCTCCTGCATCTCAGCCACAATGGCCGCCGCTACTTCCTTCGGCGGGCCTGTCCTCCCACCACAGCGTGTCACAGGCTGTGCGCCTAGATGCTCTACAGCAGCCAGGCCTGAGTGGAACAGCCCCAGCCTCCCTGTGGCCTGTGTGGGGACAGAACCGGAAGGTGCCCAGGCGCCATCTTAGCCCCCTTTCCAACCATCTACCTACTGAAAAGAACCACTGAAGAGTATCAGAGACACAGAGAGCCTACAAAAGCTCAAATAAAAATTTCCCATCGGGGCCTGAAGTTCTTCCCTTAGAGCATCTCCTTTGCCCAGTAAAGACACTTCAGTGTTCCAGGGGCTCCTGAAGAACCCCAGAGGATCAGGACTGGGAGAGCCCTTCAGATCCACGACACCCAGCTCCTTGTGTTACAAATGGGGAGGCTGAGGCCCAGAGAAAGCAAGGTATTTGCCCAAGGTCACACAGCAATCCTGGGGCAGAGCAGAGACTGAAATCCCCTCCCTCCACTCCCGGCTCTGTGCTGTCAGCCTCCAGGGCTTACCTTCCCTCCAGGTTCCCCTATGTTTGGACGCCTGGACTCAGCCCCCTCCTCTGATCCTACAGTTTGAGCCCCCAGACTCACCTGGAAGGGTCCTCCTCGGGGGAGAAGGGGCCTTGTAGCTTAATGACATTGAGCTTCCCCTCAAAGATGCCGTAGCTGAGGGTGACCTGGGCAGAGAAAAGCGGAGAAGAAAGTGAAGGTTGGCGGGGTGTCCCGCTGGGGACCCCACAAGGGGGCGGTATTGGGCCAGAAGCAGGGATGGTCCGTAAGACATTCTGGGGGGCGCAGAGAGCCTGCCTTGGCCCCTGAAATTCCACCCTGAGCACTCACTGAGGAGCCCACCCCACTCCGCAAGGCGCTTCAAGCTTGTAGGGCACTCTCGTGCCCAGACCCTATTTCCCCAGCCGTCCACCTTACCTGAGAGGATGGAATGAGTCCCTTGCCTATAGACTAGGAAACTGAGTCTCAAGAGGGGAAGGCACCCTTCCAGTAAAGTCCATGCCTGGACAGAGGTTTCTTGAGACTCACCATGGGGCCTTCACACTCCCTCTCTACCCAGAGCCTTGGGTTACTCCACATACAATGAGGACATGGGATAATGCCCCTCGTCAAGAGGCAGTTGACCACAGTGGTTAAAGACTGTGGACTTAGGGGCCACCAGGGCAGGGTTCAAATCCCCCTCTGCCTTATGTTAGCTGTGCTATGTTCAGCTCTCTGGGCCTCATTTTCCCCACCTACAGAATGGGAATGTTAGTGCTGACCTCATGCAAATGTTGGAAGGAAACAGAGTTAAAGCAGATAAAGCCACCAGCACGGTGCCTGGTGTGGTGGGTATTCTGAAAATCCAGCCATTAGGGTACCTGGTTTTGGCTGCCCCAAATCTGCCCCCTTTTCCTGGCTTCAAGCCCTGCGGTCTTATTGGGGCCCACCCTACACCCTAGTTCCAGGCCTGATGAATCAACACTAACTCTTGGCCCTGGTAGGAAACGGGTCATGTGACACAAGCAGGCCTTCCAAGCGATGAGCATCAGCCCCGGAATGTGGCAGAAGGAGGAGCTCTCCTCCTGTGGGTGGGGTGGAAACCTGGAGCTGCCATCTTGCCCGCCTGAGGGTAAGCCCAGTGTCAGGAAAGACAGACCAGAGTGGGGACAGTCTGAGCATGCAGACTCAGCCAGAACCAGCAAGCCGGCCCCCAGCTTCTCAGGCTCATGAGCCCATACATGTCCTTGTTTGTTCGACTGGTCTGTGTTGTATCTGTGTCTCTTGCTGCCAGAGTGTTCTGACTCGCACTGTTGGGTGAAGGATCCCAAGGGCCTTCCCAGCCAGGATCCCTACGGAACTGGCCACCCATGAGTAGGAGGGCCGTGTGTGCAAGGCAGAGCCTGCTGGAACTCCGTGGAGTCGTTGCTTGCCAGGTGGTAGAATGGGGTCCCCCTGCCCCAGCCAGACATTATGCCTGAGGTTTCCCACTAAGCACCTGCTCTTTCTCAGCAACATCTGGGTTAGAAAGCAAGCAGGGGGGGCAGCAGACAGGTAAGCTTTGATGAAGGCAGGACAACCCACAGGCAGAGTTGGAAAGGGCAGGCCTGACCCCTTTGGAGGGACGTGGGGGGATGGAAGACTGAAGAAGGAACAGAGAGACAAGAGGGAGCAGAACAGGTAGGGAGGGGAGCAGTCTGAACCTGAAGGCAAGCTTCACCTGGTCTGCGCAGGTCGCTCCAGCTGGCGGTCGGGGACCAGACCAAAGAATTTGAGCATCACAAACGCTAACCCTTGCGGGTTGGAGGTGGAGAAGGCTGAGTTACTGTGGGCCCGTCTGAGGGTCCTTTCCCACCTTGAGCCTCAGTTTCCCCATCAGTAGGGGATAGCCCTCCCCCGACGCATCCTTCCCCCATTGCCCCGGGGCCAGCTCACCTGCTCTGGGAGCTGGGCAGCCCCCAGCAGCTGCAGGGTCTCCAGGTGGGAATGGAAGAGGGGGCTGGGCTGCAGGCGGCCGCCTAGCTTGCACTCAACGATGTAGCCCACAGTGCAGTCGTCAGGCAATCGGATGAGGGCAGACGTTTCCACGAAGCGGGAGCCGCTGAGAGACAGAGCCGTGCTGTGGCCACTGGCGCAGAGCTCCCCGTGCCTCCCAGAAGGCCCTCCCTCCACTGGGGTCCATGGGCAGAGCAGAGCCTCCTGTGCACTGGGTGGCTTCGGGCAAGCCACAAACCTGGGGAGCCTCAGCATCCTCTTCTGTGAAATGGGCATGAGAATGGCCCTGCCCTCACTGGGCTATTGTGAAGATTAAGTGGAAGAATGGCAAGAAGAAGCCCTTTATAAATGTATCCCTTCCTCTCTTTACATTCATTCATTCATTCATTCATTGCTGAGCCTCGAGGAGCTACCCGGAGCCAGGTACCAGGCTAGGGCTGCGGATACAGAGATGAGAAGGAAAAGCATCCTGCCCTCGACAGCAACCCTCATTCTGAGGGGAGACAGTGAACAGGTCATTTCAGAGTAGGACTGACACTAAGTCAGAGGGAAGTATGAGGCCTGGGAGACACAGGGAGGGTAAGGTGGGCTTCCCAGAGGAGGTGGCAGTCTTTTGTTTTGCTTTTTATTTAATCATGACAATGGCAGGCTTTAAATAGAGTCTTACAGGATGTGCTGGAGTCAGCCAGATGCGGAGGAGGGAAGGGGCAGAGTCCCAGGGAAGGGCATCACCGGACTGCATGCCCCATGAACATCCCTGCAGGCCAGTTTGGGCAGGCCGCCCCGCTGCACAGAACGCCTCCCTGAGGGGCTCAGTGGGTGCAGAAACCCAGCCTTCCCTTCCCACCCCAGGCTCTGCCCGAGGGTTGCACCTGCCTGAGGGGGGTACCTTTTTCCATTTCACACAAATATACCATAAAGGTGGACAGAAGCCCAGATGGGGGCACTGGGCACAGGGAGGACCCCTGGTCATGGGTACACACCTGCTGTGGACATGTCCTAGGACAGCATTACCACTCCCAACTGGGGCCCGAGGTCCCCTCTGGAGGACCCTTCCCATCCAGGTCAGAGCACATCAGGGTGGTACAGTGGCAAAGCAGACAGGCCTTGGAGCCAAGCCCAGCAGCTGAGTGACCTCCGGCCGGGGTGACCTTGGACCAGTCACTTGCCCAACCTCTCACGCCTCGGTCTCCTTAGCTGTGGAAACAAGGCTGACACACCTTCTTCCCCGGTGAAGTGCAGCCCTGGCTCAGAGTCAACCCCCAACACAAGGTAGCGAGACGGATGTTGCTGCTAATAACAACATCCTGTCCAGGCAGATCTCGAGAGGCCAGGCCTTTGCCACTTCCTCTCTAGAATACCAGTACCCTCATCCCATACTAGGGGCTTCCACCACCCCCAGGAATCCCTTCACTTGGGGGCCTCTAGGGCTAGCCCAGTTCAAAGGCCACCCCTTCCAGGAAGCCTTCCTCCTGTCCCCAAGCAGAAGGCCCTACTTCCTTCCTCTGAATGCCTCTACACTTGGCTTTCACCTCCCCTGTGACACTGGGGACCGGGTGCCAGCCCAAACATTTTCCCATTTCACCCTCACACCAACCATTAGCTATCATATTATCAGGTCCATTTTACAGATGGGGTCACTGAGGCTCCCAGAGATTACACAACTTGCCTGTGTGTGGCAGAGCGCCCTGAGGGCAGGATGGCAGGTGGCTTGCTCACCACTAACTGTGTAACTCTGTGACACAGCATGAATGAGAGGCAGTTTCTCCTGAGCTCACTCTCAAGCCCTTCCTGCTGCAAAGCCCCCCCACACACACCAGGCCCTACTCTCTCCCACCCGCCTGTGGGGCTTTGCTTACCTGGCCCACGGGGCCATCTTCAAAGCCAGTTTGCGATTGATGCAGAAGCCAGCACCCCCGGTGGCAAACCAGAACTGTACCAGCCTCTGGGGGGAGAGGTGGGGAGGGCCAAGGAGCAGGGTGAGCCTGGGGGTGGGGGCAATGGCCGGGCCCTCCCTCATTCCCAACCAGCATGGCTCAAAACCTTTTTATTTCACATTTCACTAAAGTCTTGCTACAGCCTGACATTATTATGCCCATTTTACAGACAAGAAAACCGAGGCCCAAAGTCACATGGCTAATTAAGAGTGATGGGGTCACCAATTAGACCCCAGTCTGGCTGGATTTCAGTTAAAGAGAATATGTATCCTATTTGTCCACCCAGCACACCTTATCCCTTTCCCCAGCGGAATGCCTCTACCTCACCCCAGGTGGTTCAGGAGGGGCTGCCAAATACAGCACCTGCTCCCCTGGGCCACAGGAGGTGGGCAGGGGCCCGAGGAAGGGTGGATCACAAGGCCACACCCCCTGACCCAGTGATTGGCTCAGTGATGGGAAATGACTTAGGCCAGCCAATCCGAGTTCTTCCCTGAGCTCCAACTGCTACCTGGGAGGAAGAGATGCTTTCTACAGTCACCAGTCTTGGGAGCGGTAGTCCCAAAGCCACTGATACCAAGCCACCTGCACTGGCCTCACCACTTCCAGGTCCTGGGACTGAGAAGACTCTGCACAAGGAGAGAACGAGGCCTCTCACGGAGTAAAGAGAGAATGACAGGCCGGCCTGTGAGCCCCCAAGGCCAGCAAACCCCTTGACATCTCAATCTCAGGAACCAATAACCTCCCTTGGGGTTTAAATCACTTTCTGCCCCCGCCTCGTCGGTGAGGCCTCGTGAAGTCACAGCTCACGAATTTTTTCTAAGGCTTTTGGCAAACCCTGCTCCTTTTCAGCTGTACTATCTCTTGACCAACAAGTTCCCTACGGTTACCTTCTCCCAAGTACATAGTTGGTGCTTAATTGATGCATGTTGCATGGGGTTGGGTTATCTCCCATGATGCAACACTAAGAAGAACCCAGGGCAGGAAACTGGGAAGCCTGACTCTGGGGCCTCAGCCTCCTCCACTCCTCCCAGCTGTGTGACCTTGAGAAAGTCTCTGCTCCTCTCTGGGCCTCAGATTTGTCACTTGTGAGCACTTTTGCTGCAGTTCACCTGGCCCTGTGTCCTCCTCCTAAAGACCTCTATGAGCTACTTCTCAAAATGCCTCCCTCTTAGCCAGAGGTCAGGTCTCTAAGCAGAATGAACGGGTTCTTAAGGACCTGACACACAGGAGTGCCCAATGAATGCTCGTTTCATGACCTGTGGGCCCAGGGCTTCCGTTCCCAGATAATTAAAGGAACAACAGCAGTAACAGTAGAAGGGCCTAACCCTGAGCACTGCTGTACAGCATCCTGTGCCACAGAGGAGGTGACGAGGTACAGAGAAGGGAGGTCACCAGCCTGAGGTCCCAGAGCTGGGACTGAGCCTGAGCCAGAACTCTTGCCCCCTTTTGCTGTCCCCTCCCCCAACTACACAACCCTGGGGGTATCCCAGAATCCAAACAGGTTGGGACACTTTGGGGCAGAGTCTAAGGATCCCGCCGATGGAGTGTGTGTAAGGAGGGTGTTAGTGCACGTTGTGGGGTCAGGGCCTGGGTGTACTCAGCAGGTGCTGAACCTGCCCAGGAAGCAGGAGGCCGGGGGACGCAGGTGGAGCTGGGTTGGGTACCGATCGCTGACACTTACTAGTGTCATCACATGCCAGGTCCCATTCCAAGCACTTGGGTAGGTGACCTCATTGAATTGTTCCCCTTTTTGCTCACAACCACCCTATTGGGTGGGGATGGTTATCACGCATTTTGCAGACGAGGAAACTGAGGCACAGAAAGGTGGGGTGACTTGAGCAAAAGTCAGGAAGCCAGGAGGTGGCAGATGGCGTGTGGAGCCAGGGAGCCGGGCTCCAGAGCAGCATTCTCAACCCCTACTGCCAAGCATGTGGCGCTGTGGGGGCCTGGGGCACCCCTCGCTCACCTGGAGTCAACTCACACACACACCCCCAGGGCCCAGGAGGATTTAATTAGGGCTCAGAGGCCAATTAGCCGCTGATAATTAAGTTTGTGTGCTTCCTGCTCTTGGTTTCCCTAACGAAGCAGATGGTGAGCCGGGGAGGCAGAGAGACCCACTGCGGGCCGAGCTTCTGCTCCACGTGCTGCCTCTAGTGCGGGGGGGGGGGGCCTGACTAGCCTTTTCCCTGGGGCCAAGGGAGCCCCCTAGGGGCCTGGGTCATACCAACACCAGAAGCCTGGTGGGTCCTGGGGACGAGGAGAGAACCATGCTCCGTACTTATACTACAGAATTCTTTCCTGTTTATCTGCAAGTTCAATTTAACTACTATCCTGATTTTTGGTTTATTTGTTTCCTAAACCTCACAACCCTCATTAGCAGCCATCTAGGTCTGGAGCTGAATGAAGCTGGTGCTAGGGACCCCATTGTGCCAGGTGTCACCTCTTTAGTTGCCGGTCAGTGAAGTCTGGAGAAAGGAGGGGTGCGGAGGGGAGGGGAGTGCTCAGGGGCTGGGGGGCAGTGCAATTTACCACGCGGCCCAGCAGTATCCGGCATTTGAACAGCCTGTACGACTACATGACGATACCAGGGGCTAGGAGCCATGCCATGGAGTCAGGCAGCCTCAGCTCACCCCCCCACACACACACCCCCCACCCCACACACCCCTGTCATTGTGTGACCAGAATGAGCCCCTGCTCCTCAGTGACTGAGGCCCTCCTGTGTGCCAGAGTCTGCGCCTCGCCTGCATTATCTCAGTCTCCCCATTTCAGAGGAGAAGACAGGATCCGTGGCAAAGTCACCAACCCAAACACACAGCAAGGAGACCAAATGAGAAAGCCGGAAAACCTACCTGACTCCGCAAGGGCCCTGGCCCCGCCCCCGGCCTGGCCCCGCCCCCCGGCCTGGCCACAGCCAACACCCCTGGCCAATGCACGAAGGAGGAAGAAGGGACCCACCGTGCGGTTGTGGGGTCTCGGCTCAGAAGCGCGGATAGGCCGGTTCAGGCTGGGCCGGCCTACGTAGACGTCGTGAGTCTGTGGGAAGGCTTTTAGCAGCTTCAGCAGTGCCCTTGGGTTCACGTAGTTGTCGTCATCCACGTGGCAGAACCACCTATGGGGACAGAAGGGGGATGGTAAGCTTGGAGGAGGGTTCCCAAGGGCTGCCAGCTAGCCAGATTCTCCCGTGCCCCCCATTATCAGTAAGCAAAATTAGGCAGTGAGAGTAGCTAACACTGAAGGCCCATGCTCTGAGCCTGATAGCATCTTGTGTGAGCTCCCGAGGAAAGTGTGCCCACTAAACAGATGGGGACCGAGGTTCAGAAAGGTTAAGACACTTGGCCAAGGTCACACACTCAGGAAATGGCAAGACTTGAACCCAGACCGTCTGCCCAGAGACAGACCCCAGGAGGCCCTTACATGATTAAATTCACAGGACCCAGCTGACTTCATTTTTGACACAACACCCTATTCGGGAACTAGCCTGAGGCAAAGGTCACACCTGGCCCCAGAGACCCAGGGGCACTCACCGCAGCCCACGGGCCAAGAAGGTGTCAAACTCAGCAGCCATCTTGCAGGACAGGGCGGGGTGGCTGTGCTCAGCAGAGCAGTTGGTGACCACAAGGTGAGATCCTAGAGAAGTGAGGACAAGTCAGGGGACCCTACCCAGGTCCTCCCCCACAGCCCTGCACACCATGAGAATGCAGAGCAAGACTTCAGCCTGGAGCGGCCCACCCATTCCCATTTTACACATGGGGAAACTGACCAGGGAGGGCTGACCCCCCAGGACCCCAGAGCTAATGAACGGGAGGCTGGGCTGGGACCCACAAATCCAGGGTACCATCCAGAACAGCCCCTCCTCACACCCACACCCGTTTCCAGGGAAGAAGCCTGCTCCCCTCCTGGGCAAAGGGGAATCCCCACATGCCAAGAGAGGGCAGCCCTGTTTCTTGGGGACCCCAGGCCATGGGACAGCCACCCCAGCTTTCCCTGGAAACAGCTGAGGGGCCCCACCTGGACTTACCCAGTCTCTCCTGGAGGCCTTCGTCTGGGCTGTCGGTGAAGACAAACGTCTAAGGAGAAAGAGGAGTCGGGACCGGAGTCAGCCAAGGACAGCCCACAGGCACGGCCCTGCTGAAGCACCTGTCAGAGCTCCGTCCTCCTCCGGCAGTGACAGACACACCCCCTCCCAACATCACCACACACTCCTTTCAGACACCATGACTTTCTCAGCTATTCCCCTTACAAGACACACAACACAGCCTCACACCACACACCAGCCACCGTGTCACCTGCACGAGCACTTGCAGACCAGCGCCCGTGGGAACCCTCCCAGAGTCACACCCTCTTCTATCCCCCCCCCCACACACACACACACTGCAGTCCCACCTGGCCCCTCCATCACCACACATACACAACCTGAGACACTTTGTCAGGAGACAGACTCTGCGTGGAAAGACCCACACCCTGGGACAGCACACCTGCCTGGGGAGATGGTCATGGTTTCACAGCCACACAGACTCCCTGGGCAGGTGCAGGGTCCTTACGAATCTCAGAAATTTTACATCGTGATCCAACGCCAGCTCTCCCAGATTGCAGAAGCAGCCCACCAGCAGCTTGCACAATTCCTGGTCCCTGATGACCTCACTGAACCTCAGGACAAGTGTCATGATCTGTCCCCCTCGCAGATGGCAAAACTGAAGCTAAGGGACAGACTACGGTTGCATAGTTGGCAGCCGCTGAGCTGGGATTCGGACCCACAGGCCTTGGACCTCTCCTCACCACGCCCCGGGCAGGTAGAGGCCACTCAAGCCCTAGATAAACTGAACACAAACTGAATGAGAGACAAATGAGAAGAAGCTTGTGGCAAGACAGACCCACAGCCGGGGACCCGTCTAACCCCCATTCCACACCCTGCCCAGCACACGCACCTTTTCTTGCCTGAGCAGGTCCTCTCGTCCGCCAAGCACAGCGAGAGCCTCCTCTGACCCTTAGGTGGCCCTGTCCAGGGCCCGGACAATTTTGACTTCTTTCCAAGGGAGGACCAAGGAGAAAGCATCCCACCTGGTGAAAGGCCCTCTACATCCCCATCCCTCACTCGGGCCACCCTGGGGCTGGCCCTGTCCTCCTTCCAGACTCAGGGCCTCCAACTGCATGCCCCTCCCCGCTCAGCCACAAACTTCTCCCTGGTTTCCAGGAACCAGCCCTTCAGATCAGATCAGCCCCTGCTTTGAGCCTCAGTTTACCTGGCTGGAAAATGGGGACTAGCAGTAGCTGTGACAGTAAAGTGAGATAATGTGAGAAAGAAGAAGAAAGAGGCGGCAGTGAAGCCCAGCTCCGCTTCTTATCTCGGGGGAAACTGAGGCACCGGAGACCAGAAGCCAGGGTTGGGCACAGGAAGGGGCACAAGGGAACGAGTCCTGTCTCCCCAAGAGCCCACAACCATGGGCCTTCTGAGCCATTATCTTTCAATGGATTAGGGCAAGACCTTCAGATCTCTTTTCCTGTCAGGACCAGAATCAGATAATACCCATACCCACCACCCCGCCAAACACCTTCTGTGGCTCCCTACTGCCCTCAGGATAAAGGCCAGCCTCCTAAGTGTGGCCATGAGGGGCCACCCAGCCCCTGTGCCTGATGCAGCCTATCTCACCACTTCCTGCCCCACCCCTTCTCTTAAATCCAAAGGTCTTTCAGTTCCCCAAATATGCCACACACATCCACACCCCTCTGAGCCTTTGCACATGCTGTGCCCATTTCTTGGCCCCTAACTCCTCCAGGAAGCCTTCCCTGACACCCCTCCCATGTGCCCCTCAGCCACCTGTTCCTCCTGATGGTAAGTAACAACAACCCCTCAGTTATGAAAATCTATCCTTTGGTCTCTCCCACCAGACAGTGACATCCTGAAGGGCGCAGGCCTGGTCTGATTTGTCTCCCTGTCAGGAGACCTGGGCAGCATCCACCTTCTGGGGCCCCCTCCCTGGGGTGTGTCTCCCACCTTCAGATTTAGCTAATACTGGAGGTCCCTGGATATCCCTGCAGAAAGTGTTGGCGGCCCAATGCTGGCCCTCTTCTCTGTCCCGTCCACCGCCCCAGTGACGCTATCTAGCCTCTCGGCTTTCAGCAAGAAGCCATCAAACCCCGCGGTAGCCACAACTTCTCCCCAGGTGCCTCAGGCTCAGTGCCCCAGCTCCTCCCAGGCCTGTGCTCTTCTGGGGGCTCCCCATCTTGCTGGGACCCAACACCCTGGGGTCACCACGCCTCCTCTCCTTCTTTCACACCCCACACCCACCCAACCTTCAAACCACCCAGGATGCCACCTGTCCACAGCAGCCTGCACAGCCCCTGGTGGCCCAGCCCCTCCCTGGTCATCTCCTGCCTGCTTTGCTATGGTCACCCTTGCCCTGCTCTCTCTGCTCTGTCCTGCCCCCGCCCCAAGTCTGTTTTCAACACAGCCCCCAGGGAGCCAGGGAAGTAAATCAGGCCTTTCTTGCCCTGCTCCCTGGGAAACTTTTGCCACCAAACAGCCACCAGATAGTGGAACTCTCTGGAGTTTGGAGCATGGGCCAAATGGGCCAGGGCGTGTTTGCTGATGGATGAATAAGCCCAGAATCAGTAGGGGAAGGGGGAAGGAGGGGGTCCCGCTGCAGGGCTGGGGGCTGGGCGGGGTGCATGAGGCTGGTGTTCCAGTCCCTGGGAACCCTGAGATTGCACAGAGCAGTGGGCAGAGTTTCCTCTGAGCCAAAGGTTGCATTTAATTTGTTTAAGGAGGAGACTCTGACAATGGTTAAAACCTCACAGGAAAACAAAAGGATAGGCAGCCCGCTGGGGTCAGGGGAGAGGGGACTGGGGGCCATCTGGTGAAGAGGAGGGAAGATGTGGGGCAGGCTCTGCGGCCCCCACCCCCCACCCACCGCCCTCGAGGGGCCTGTAGGGAAGGGAAAGGCTCCCCACCCCGCCTCCCCCAGCCCGCCCCCTCTGCCTGGGACAAAGACTACGCGAGCCCCAGCCTGCTGCCACAAAGGCCCACCTGCCACCCAGCCGCCCTTAACCAGCTGGGGCGGGCGCCCAGCCCTGGAGTTAACCAGCTCAGGCCCACTCCTGAGGGCAGAGCTAAGAGAGGCTCAGAGACCCTCCTGTCCTGTGTGGATGGGGAAACTGAGGGCTGAAAGGGGAGGGTCTCAGCCAAGGTCACAGAAAGAGATGCGCCAAAGGGTTGAGACAAAGGGGCCCCAGACGCAGTGTGCGGTAAGAATGTGTCTCCCTGTCTCCCCTCCTCTTACTCAATGTGAGCATCCTTCCTTTTCTCAGCCCTACATAAAGGACAAGGTTTCTCGACTCTGCCCCTTGTGCGGGGGGGCGGAGGGGTGTTGCGCAACTGAGTGAATTCATCTCCTACCTCGGCTTCACTGTGCTCGGTTTCCTCGCCTATAAAACAGGCCTATCGATACCTCCCACTCGGGGCTGCTGTGGGTGTTAAACAGAGTGAGGCATCTGATGGGCAGCCCCTTGGGTGCCGAGCAGTGGGCATGTGGGATTGAGCTTGAGGCACACAGTGGGTGGTTGCTTCCTCTCCTTTGCTGACCTGGTCCTGCCAGGCCCACCCAGGCTGGGGGCCCCAGGACCCTCTCCTGTAGCCCAGCGACAAGGCAGCTCTGGGATCCTGGGTCTCAGCAGAGAAAGAAGGGCCCCAGCCAGGAGGAGGGGGCTGGGTCCCACTGGGCTCTGCGCCCCCAAGCCTTCGGAGTGAGGGTGACAAGCACTTCCTCCCTCTGGCCTCAGTTTCCTCATCCGGGGCAAGGGCACCACCATGGTGATCAAGACAAGGCAGGAAGGGGCCTCAGACCACGTGAGGCAGGCTCCTGGGTACACAGACGCAGCACCATAAACAGGAAGGTCTGCGGGGAGGGCCAGGCTCAGTGGCTTCCGCAGGAGGAACCAGAATCTCCCCAAGATGAGAAGCTGCGTGGGGGGTGCCCAGGGAAGAACCTGGGTGCTGGGGTTCCCCCTGGAGAAAGGGTTAAATAGGGTGCTAGGACATCATGGTCAGGAAATCGGGGAGTGGGGGTGCCCTCTCCCCAGAAGGCCCTGGGCTCCTGCAGACATCACCTCCCCTGCTCCTTGGTCTCCCAGGAGCCTGCAATCCCCTCCAAAAGTCCAGTCACTTCCTCCCACTGAGCCCATCGCCACGTAGGGGCTGTGTGTGTGTGTGTGTGTGTGTGTGTGTGTAAAGCTAACCCTTTACCTCCCCCAGAGATGGTTCCCAATACCCCTAAATCACTGACTTTGCTTGGGGAAGGCACTGGATCTGGGGAGGGCAAGAGCCAGAGGGACTCAGCTTGTCCCCAAAAAGACATAAGCCACACGCCCCCATCACCCACACACCTCTTTGTCATAGCCCGTCTAACGAGGACACTTTGGCTCCATGCAGGAGCACACATACGCGCGCACACACACACGCACACGCGTGCTGGGCAGACCTCTAACCTCTCCCCGCCATCGCTCGGCCACCACCGTCACAGAGGACCTCCCCCGCTCCGTCCGAAACTGCCCCACAGGAAAAGAGCACAGGAGATGAGGCGCCGCTGTGCTGGGCACACCCCGGGTAGCAGCGGGGGTTGGGGGGGCTGCCAGGAATTCTGATGCCCCCCCACCCCGCCCCTCTCCCCGAGCAGGCCCCCCCAAGACCTTCGCCTTCTCAGCGGCTCAGCCCCTGATCTCCTCCCGAGCAGCCCGAGCAGCGGGACAACAGGCCTGGGCACACATCCGAGTCAGATGATGCCTCTAGCCGGCCGCCCCGCACCTCCCCGCTGTCCCCATCGCCAGGCTGGGCCAAGGTGGGCAGGAGGAAAGCCCGTGCCAGAAGAGCCAGGAGGGACTGAGGAGCCCGGGGCAGGGGCCCGGCCTGGCCCCTGAAAGACATGGAGCAGGGGGCCTCAGGAACACCTGGCTCCGGGGCCAGCGAGGGGCCCAGGCTGGGCGGCAGGAGCCCCTGGTCCCTGGAGGAAGGAGGAGTGGGAAGACAAGCCCAGACTGGGCAGGTGGGCAGGCAGCTTCTCCCTGGAGGCCGCCAGGGACCCCAGCCCAACAGAAAGGCCTCCGGGAGTCCCTCAGGCCAGGGCCCACTCCTGGGGCCCACAGTCGCCCACTTGTCACCTGTTCCCTGGTCCTGGAGACCCACGTGTCGAGCAGCAGCTCCAGGCGGGAGCGGTGGAAGGCTCGGGTCGTCTTGACTGCAATGAAGACATCGTGCAGCCGCAGCTCAGGGGACAGAGGGCTTGGCGGGCTCAGCCCGGGGGTCTCCCGCATGCTCTGTGGGAACAGGCTCGAGTGGTACCGTAGGGAGAGGAGCCCCATGCACAGAAGGGTGAGGAGGGCTCCCGCCAGGCCCCGGACGAGACGGCACTGCATTGGCCCTGGGACCCCAGACAGCTCAGCCCCCGAATCCCAGCCGGACAGGGAGGCGAGGCTGGTTCGGCGGGGGCCCCGGCCCAGGCAAAGGTCTGGTAGGCATCGGGGGGTGGGGGTGGGCAGGCAAGGACGGGGAGGTGGGAGCTGGTG